TCGCTTATAGCAAACACTATCATAAAAGCCATTGTTATACACAGCAAGGTCTTGGGCTCTGTCTAGTGGCCAGTTCAGGGAACTTCTTCATGAGAAACATATACAGTACAGTGGGGTCTCTACTTAAGAACGTCCCTACTTAAGAACAATCCAACTTAAGAACAGCTCCATTTGCTAAATTTTGCTTCTACTTGAGAACAGAAATCCAAGATAAGAACAGGAAAAAAAACCTTTCCTGCTCTTTTTTTAACCTTAGGTCATCTTAGGTTAAAAAAAAACTCTCCCCCTAGTGGTAGAGTACGTATTAACCAGCTTTGCATTAGTTCCTATGGGAACTAATGCTTCAATGTACGAACGCACCTCTACATAACAAAAAAACAGCCAGAACGGATTAATTGGTTTTCAGTCCATTCCTATGGGAAATTTTGCTTCAACTTAAGAACGTTTCAACTTAAGAACACCATTCCAAAACGGATTAAGTTCTTAAGTAGAGGTTCCACTGTAGTTTCTATGGACGGAAAAGAGCAGATATGGATTAAATGGTTTTCAATGCATTCCTATGGGAAATGCAGATTCAACATAAGAACTTTTCAACTTGAGAACCACTTTCCAATACGGATTAAGTTCTTAAGTAGAGACCCCACTGTACTGTATTTATGTCTGCCTCCTCCTTTGCCTGGCATCCCATGTCTCCGGGTTTGGGATGCCACCGGTGTTCAGTTGAGTTGACCAGGTTGATTAACTGAATCATGTCTGCAACAACTTTTCAGCCAGCTTTATTTAAAAAGATCAGTTACAAAAAAACAAAACAAAAAACCCACCCAAAACAACCATTCTCCAAAGAGGAGACCTTAATGTTCTTTTACCAAGGTTTGCCTGGCATCCCATGTCTCCGGGTTTGGGATGCCACCGGTGTTCAGTTGAGTTGACCAGGTTGATTAACTGAATCATGTCTGCAACAACTTTTCAGCCAGCTTTATTTAAAAAGATCAGTTACAAAAAAACAAAACAAAAAACCCACCCAAAACAACCATTCTCCAAAGAGGAGACCTTAATGTTCTTTTACCAAGGTTTATTTTCACTAGTGCTGCCATTGAGTGAAATTCTTTATTGCAAATACTATAAATAGGAAGTGTTAAAAGGAAGGAGGCCTGATTTCAGAATTCAAACCATGCTACCTAAAGGGCTGGGGAAGGTCTTACTTATTACTCGTCAAAAGATACCCATCAGCAAAAGAAGAACAAAATAACTTTGAAAGGCAACGCTCATTTGCACAGTTAACATCCAAGAGTTTGTTTTGACACAGAAAATGAAATAAAAACGGCCAGACCCTACGATGCTCGTAATTCAAGTACACCACTCACAAAGTCCACTGGGAAGTCATCCTACACCGGCTCAGCTAAATCGGAGGAGAGTTGTGCAAAGGCCAAGTAACATAGTAGTAGCGTGAGCAGGAACGTGCCCCGTACGTACCACATCTGAAAAGCTGCTTAAATGGACTGATTCCTAAACCTTCAAGTAAACAGGCATCTTTTTTTTTCCTATGATAGCTTCTTATTCAACTGTACAACAAGATACTTAAAATGCTTTTTTCTTAAGTCAAAAGAGAATTCATAACACAAAAATACATTTTCCTTGCGAAGTTCCACATGGTGGTTAAATAAAGAGAAGTCTTCTCTGGAGGCCCTTAAACAAAGCGGCTACTGTCCTATTCAAGAGAAAGTGAAGGAGATAAATATAGATAGATATATTAAAGTAACACGTCCTGTTGCGGCTGCACGTGCAGCATTTATTCTGCATCTCTGGGAAATGAGGGAGGAAAACCATGTCCGTTCCGAGGATTTTATGTAGAAAGTAACAGAAGAGCAGTTCATTCTGTGTAGTGCCTGGAGATCAGGGAGATGTCCTCGTTGGTTATCTGAAATACATAGCTCACCATTAGGACCACCCGAGGCATTGAGAGCCTAGGCAAAAATATTCAACTGGTAGAGAACTGGGAGTACATCTTGCTTTTAAAAAGGCCCTCGCTGGCATGTTGCATCATGGCATCCTTCAGAGAAAACAGGCGACCACTTCCACAAGTTGTTTCTTCTGCGCTCAGACATTGAGGCAGTACGTTTCTTAGAACACCATTGAACTTTTTGTTATTAAGTCGTGTCCGACTCTTGATGACCCCATGGATCAGAGCACGCCAGGCCCTCCCGTCTTCCACTGCCTCCCAGAGTTGGGTCAAAGTCATGCTGGTCACTTCAATGACACCGTCCAACCATCTCGTCCTCTGTCGTCACCTTCTCCTCTTGCCCTCACACTTTCCCAACATCAGGGTCTTTTCCAACTTTTTAAACTACAACAGCTGAAATACCAGTTAAAAACGACTCGGGACACCCTGGAGAGGTGTTTAGGCCAGTTCTGAGAATATCTTTTGGTCTGGATATTTCCAGAACTTGGTATTCTTAGCAATGTTCATGTTGCTGAAAGATCCAATAGCATTTCCTCCATGGTCAGCAACGTATGCATCCTCAAGGCTACATCCTGCCCCGTCAATCCCTCTCTTTCATTCTCTACCTGTCACATCTCGGACCTGAACAGAAATCCAGTGCTAAGAGGGCCTGGGCGTCCGGGATGTCTCACTGCTATTTGAGACGCTTCTGTGTCAGGCTTGGTTTCATTGGAGTCTACATAACACTACTGAACACTCCAGTTTAAGACTATTACACACTGAGAAGCTGGGAGCTACCCAATTACTCCACATTCTCTCATACATTTAATGGTTTTCTGCCAAGCCTGGTTCCGTCCAACGTAGAGGGGGAACGGAGACACAGCCCTCCCATTTTAATTTAAGGAACGCGCTTGTTTCTCCCAGCAACGGCTGCCTTTCCCCTTCTTGGTAGGCAGGCAGGACTGCATTTCCAGGCAAAAAAGGGCAATGCAATTTAAGGATGCATGAACAGAAGCATACTCTCCAAATCCCGCAAGGTACTAGTTCCCCCTCTATTCAGCACTGGTTAGACCTCATCTAGAGTCCTGGGTCCAGGTTCTGGACACTGCATTTGAAAAAGGATGCCAGCCAACTGAAGCAAGTTCAGAGGAGGGCAACAAGGAGGATCAGGGAGCTGGAAGCCAAGCCCTAGGAGGAAAGGCTGAAGGAACTGGAAACGTTTAGCCTTGAGAAAAGAAGACTAAGGGGCGATAGGATAGCACTTTTCAAATACAGTACTTGAAAGTTCTACAGAGGAGGGGCAGAATCTGTCCTTGATCATTCCAGAGTGCTGGATACAGGCTTAAGTGAGAGGAAGCCAGATTTAGCTGAATATTTGGGGGGGGGGCATCTTAACTGTTAGAGAAGCACAACAATGGAAATACAGTGGTGCCTCGCTTAACGAGCGCACCGTATAACGATGAATCCGCATAGCGATTCCGTTTTCAGGATCACTAATGTGGAGGCATAGCATCGGCCCCAATGGGCAAAACTCGCATAGTGAAGATCGATAAGCGTTTCGTTTACCGATCTTCGCTTTGCGACACCCGCAGATCAGCTGCGGATGCCCAAAATGGCCGCCGGATGCCCAAAATGACTGCACGCGGCGTTTTCGCGCCCTCCCCTCGCTTACCGAGGGCGCGAAAATGGCTGCCGGACCCTGGAAACTTGGCTAAACGGTGAGTTTTGTGCCCATTTGGAACACATTAAACATCTTATTAAACATGGGCTTCCCCATTCCGTTTAGCGAAGTTTTCACATAGCGAAGGTTAATCCGGAATGGATTAACCTCGCTATGCAGGGCACCAATGTAATGAGCTCAGGAGGTGGTGAGCGCTCCAATGCTAGAGGCCTTCAAGAGAAAACTGGACACAACTAAGATCTGCTTTCATTTGGATTCCTGTCTTGAGGGGTTGGACTCAATGGCCTTAGAGGCCTCTTCAAAGTCCATTATTCTATGTTAATGAGTGGCTGCTAATGTCAAACTCAGCTACAAAAAGGGGGTGCCCTCTGAGGATCTATTAGCGATCCCCAAAGACACCATCGTGAGTTTTTAGGAGGAAGCCAAACAGCCACCAAGAGAGAGAGAGAGAGAGAGTAGAAAAACAAGGTGGAGGAGGAAGAGAGAGAGAGCGGCAGTCCCTCACAGGCCACCAGATGGCGCCCTGGGAACCTCCACCATCTTGCACCCGGGGCCACTGCTTTTTGAGGCATGATACACTTTTACCCACAGCCTCCTCAACCGGGGCTGTGCTGAACTGGTCATAGGAAAGGACTGTCATCTCGTAACCCCACAACAGGCCTGTGACAAGAGATCAGACGCTGATCATCCCCGTGTTGCCTCCGGGGCAGGTCCAAGAACAAGGCCGAGTGGCTCCCCTCAGGTTTTCTTCTGAGGGCACAGCAGAAAAAGGAGATCACAATTCGGTCCCCTCGGTGCCAGGCGTGCAACATTTCTGAAAGGGACAGGCTCCCCAATGGCCACCTCTCCCAAGCCTTTGCTACTCACCCACAAAAATCCCCTTTGGATGGTAAGAAGCAGGCCTCCAACCTCTCCCCTACACACGCAGACATGCTGCGGGCCCCAGGGTTCATCTTACCAGCAACTGCTTCGACCCAACGTCGCCATGTCTTCCGCTGTCTCAAGGAACGTATTGACATCCAGCGCCAGAATGCCCTTGCTCTCCAAGGTGTCTCGGTTGGCGCTGGGCTTTTCTGCAATGCAGAATTGCGAAGGAAGGGTCAACTCCTGCACCTCCACAAGAGGTGGCAAAAGTCAACACAGCAAGAAAACCCCTCTCCTTGGCCAGGACTGGAGTAAGTCCGTTGAGTAGGGGGCAGAGCAGGAAGGGCCAGCCCGGGCTTGGGGGGGGGTGAGACACGGGAGATTTGGAGCACGTGCTTCCCCTTTCCCCAGCGCCGCCTGCTCCAGACCAACCCATCTAGGCCCCGGAAACAGGCTCCATTCTCACGCCTGAGCCAAGGAGCCGTCGGTCCACATTCACATCGAGGCTGCCAATGCCACCCGAGAGGGTCGGATGCTTTGCTGCTGGCGGGGCCTTCAGGCAGCCCAACCGCGAGGTGTTCCTTGACCCAATGGAGCCTCCCTTCTCCCACACGCACAGCCTCCTTTCCTCATCTCCTCTGCCCGCTTCGCCTTTTCCAGGCAGCTGTGTGGCTTTGAGGGTTGTGGAGTCAACCGTCCGCCAGCTGCCTCTCTCCGCGTGCTCACCAAGCCAGCCACAACCCTTCTCCGCCCCATCCATTCTCTCCCACCGGGAGGCCTTCAGCGCCATCACCTTGTGCATCGCACCACACCGTGGTGTGTGGGTTGCTCTATTTTTTTTAAATGCCTTTGGCTTTACAGATCGGGCTACCACTCTGAACGAAGGGGTTTTAGCCCTACCAAGGCCTGTTCCTAGTTCACTCTCTTGAATAAAAGTCATCACTCCTGGATGAATAAACGGTGCCTTTAATCTCCAAACCCTCTTAGCCCTGAAGGCATCAGAGGCTGGGCACTGCTCACGGAACAGGCTTTAAGAGATCCTTCCAAAAGCCAAGGCTGCATATACCTCGAGGTGCCCTCAGGCGTACATCCACATCCACTGCCACACACATTAACAGGAGAGACTCTGTTTATGTGGGACTCTTCTGTGGATCTTGTGGGCTCCGTTACTTCCCATGATAAAGACAAATCCAAGGGTATGTATGATAAGAAGAAGAAGGTGTCTTACCTGTGAGAAACACAGCAAACCTCTCACTGATATGTTGAACCTGCAAATTCAGCATGCAGTTCAGGTGCTCAGATTTCGGGGAGGCCCTTGAGTCGCACTGATGGTAGTGAAGAATTTCAAGGAGATTTGCTCCTTGGGAAGACTTCAGGAGCGATTCTTTGGCGTGAGCAGCAGGATCCACCCTGGGGGGGGGGGCAGGGGACAAGAACATGACAAGAGGTTAGCCGTATGCCACTCTGAATGATTCCCACTCCAAAGCCTCGCTCAGTTGAATCCTGGCTCTATCCGGCAAGTCCAGCCCTCCGACCTCAAAGAGAAATAGCTAGCTGTATAAATGAAATCATGCTCTCAGGACTGTTAGCTACCTCTCCAAAAGGCTGGCGTAATTTGGTTACTGTGAGGCCCCCGTACAGGAGGCCTATGTAGGAGTGCCATCGCTCCCGTCGCAGACCCAAATTACCCAAACCTCACCCCCTCCTCCACCACGTCGCGAGGATAAGCAGGTTGATACTGAGGGATTAGGAGTGATACCGGAAGAACCGGGAACCCAAGAGATTGGGATAGATACCCGAGACTTAACTCAGGTGCTGAAAGAGTTAACCCTGACACCAAAGGGGGAGAAGGTTTCGGCGGGAAAAGGGAGGGAGGAGATAGAGGCAGCCGCTGGGGATATAAGGGAAAAGCGGGAAGAGATCCCGGGTGGCTGGGAATGGATCTGGGTGGAAGATCCGTGGACCGGCAAGTGGGAGCAGGTGAGGCTGCCGCATGAGGAAACGGAGAGAAGAAGGAGACAAGGTCTGAAGCCCCAACCATCTTATTGGGGGGAAACCGAGGCTAAGGACTGGAGGCGTAAGTTGCGAGAGGAGAGAGAGGCGGTGTTGGGGGAGATAGAAAAGGCATGGCATATGGAGGAATTGCAGAAGATGGGGGTTTACCCGGACCCTGGTTGGAAGGTCCCGGAGAAGAGTCATCCCTATGGGGCTGGAGCGGCGATGAAGAAACTCCTTGATTCTACCGAGTGATGGTATTCCTGAAGCTGGAGGACCAGTGAAGGATATAACTGGTCCTTGGACAGTAGAAGAGACTAACCCCTTTGTGGGGAGTTTGTGGACACCCTTGCGCCCTAGACCAGAGGCTCAAGAGAAGTTAAATGAGGTTAAGCAAACTGTTCCTGTTGACGTTAATGTTCCAATAAATACTGAACCTGTTGGATTGTTTAACCCGTCTCAGCCTTCATTGAGTGTGACTGACCCCCCAGTAAACGAACCCTCACAAATTGGCGCCCAACGCGGCGGGCAGTCACACCGACAAACAGAGATGGACAGTTGGATGAGACAGATTACGGAAGGACAAGGGATACTGATGAAACAGTTGGCAGACCAACAGCGGTTGATCATAGAACAAATGCAGAGGACTCACTTGGGGATACCTACAGCGCCGACAGGGCAGGAGGCAAAATCACCCATCGCGTCAAGACCACCCATTAAACTACAAAAGATGGGACCCCAAGACGACCCGGCAGCATTCCTAAACACATTTGAGCGGGTGGCCACGTCGGCACAATGGCCCAAGGAACAGTGGGCGCTGATCGTAACCCCCTACTTAACCGGGTTACCGCAGGAAATAGTGAACACGTTAGACCCCGAAGACGCGGGCGATTATAAAAAAGCCAAAACGGCGATACTTAATACACTTAATCTTAACGAAGAAGCGTACAGGAGGAAGTTCAGAGAGTTGCGGCTTAAACCGGGCATACATCCCAGAACATTAGCCCAAAAGATGAGGGTAAATGCCACCAGGTGGGTGCAACCTAAAGGGAAAACGGCGGAACAAGTGCTAGAACTGATTATACTGGAGCAATTGATCTCCACATTGACATCAGGCCCGCGGAATTGGGTCATGAACCACAAGCCCACCAATGTAGAGGGCGCTGTGACACTGCTGGAGGACTATCTAGGAGCAGAAGAACCCTGGTTACCATGCCCTGCAAACACTGGAGAGAAACCCCATTTCAAAGAAAAGATGGCGGAGACCATGAGCACCGGAGCACCACGCAGTAATCCTGGAGCAGTCCCTAAGAAGCAAGGGCCAGACCGGACTGAGTTCATGAACCCGACAGGGTCTAGAATCCCGCGACCCACGATCACCACTGAGCCAGCCAAGAGCAAGCTAGCACCAACGTGGAACCCGGGGAAGGAAAAGATGATGGCCTGCTTTGGCTGCGGCCAGTTTGGACACATAAAAAAGTTCTTCCCGACTGAGGAGTGCGCGTGGAGTAACATCTACACGAGCATGGCCAAGGTGGGTGTAGGTAACCACCCGGGGTGGGTGGTAACTGCCAAGGTAAATGGACAAACGAAGCGTGCCCTGATAGATACAGGGTGTATGCGCACCTTGGTCAAAGAGATGGAGGCGCCCCGACTCCCGGAGACTGTAGTAGTAAAATGCATTCATGGGGATGCTAAAGAATACGAGACGGCCAAAGCGGATGTGGTCATAGGAAACCAAAGGGCCAAACCGGCGGTGGGAATCGTCCCAGGCCTGACCAGGGAGATGCTGCTTGGCAGAGATTGGCCAGGCCTAGAGGACTTGGCCAGGAGGGTAGAAGACGGTTATGCAGGAGAAAGGGAAGTTTGGGAAAGAGAAGCAGAGGTGATGCAGTTATCAAGGAGTCAGCTAAGGAATCTGCAACAAGACGACCCCAGTTTAAAACAAGGGTTGCAACTAGCGGTACCGGAGGACGAAACCCCGGAGAAAGGAGAAGGGTTCGAGATGCAAGGGGGTTTGCTATACTATGTGTGTAAAAAGGAGGGAAAGACAGAACAGCTTCTGGTGGTCCCTGAACATTTGAGACGCTGGGTTATGCATTGGGCACACAACCTTCCAATTGCCGGGCACCTAGCAGAACAGAAGACGCTGGCGAGAGTACAACAATTCTATTGGCCCAAAATGGCAAAACAAGTTATGCTGGGTTATGCACTGGGCACACGACCTTCCAATTGCCGGGCACCTAGCGGAACAGAAGACGCTGGCGAGAGTACGACAACGATTCTATTGGCCCAAAATGGCAAAACAAGTTGAAGAATACTGCATGTCGTGCCCCAAATGCCAATTGACCCAGCCCAAAAGGGGACCAGGAGCTGAATTGGTCCCCATGCCATTAGTGGACAGGCCTTTTGACCGTATAGCTATGGACATTGTGGGTCCGTTGACCAAGTCAGAGGGAGGACATCAATATATCTTGGTAATCATTGACTATGCCACCAGGTATCCGGAAGCCATTCCTCTGAGGTCAACCACGGTAAAGGTGTTGGCGAAAGAACTGTTGGGGGTGTTTTCTAGAGTGGGGTTTCCCCGAGATGTACTGACAGACCAAGGGTCCAATTTCATGAGTATGACCTTCAAACAAATGTGGGACCTTCTGGGAGTTAAACCCCTAAGAACTTCCATATACCACCCGCAAGCCAACAGCTTGGTGGAAAGGTTTAACCGTACGTTAAAGGGGATGTTGAGAAAGATGGCTATGGAACAGCCAAGGAAATGGCAACTGTTTGTTAACCCGTTAATGTTTGCAGTGAGGGAGGCCCCGCAGGCCTCGACAGGCTTCTCACCGTTTGAATTACTGTATGGGCGTCAACCCAGGGGAATTTTGGACCTTGTAAGGGAGAGATGGGAGGAGGGAGAAGATAAATCACAGAATGCTCTGCAGCAGATAGTGGAGATGAGGAACAATTTAAAGGTGGCCTGGGAAGTGGCTCGAGACAATTTAAAGCAAGTACAAACAAAACAAAAGATACGGTATGACAAAAGAGTGAGGCCACGTGAATTCGAACCCAGGCAAAAGGTGTTAGTACTGCTACCCACCAATACCTCTAAATTCTTGTCAAAATGGCACGGACCGTATGAGGTGGTTAGGAAAGTTAATCAGGTAGATTATGAGGTTGAAACACCTGATCGGAAAAGGAAGCTGCAGATCTTTCATGTGAATCTTCTGAAGGCTTGGGTGGATCGGGAATGTTTCTTTGATGGGGAAGCAGACGAAGATTTGGGTCCAGAAGTAGAGAATGAATCAAGAGATGATGATATGGTGGTAGGGAAGATCTTGCAGCCGGAACAACAACGGCAAGCACTGGCACTAAAGGGGGAATTACCTCAAATCTTCTCAAAAACCCTTGGGCAAACGTCTCTGGTAGAACACGCCATTGAAACTGAACCTGGAGTAGTGGTGAGAGATAGCGGGCGGACCTGGCCACACCACGTGGTTGGTATAATGGAAAAGGAAGTAGATGAGATGCTCAGAATGGGAGTGACAGAGCCCTCTAAAGGACCTTGGAGGAGCTTTCCTGTAATAGTACCCAAACCCGATGGGTCCCTGAGATTTTGTGTAGACTTTAGAAAGGTCAACGCGGTGTCCAAATTCGACGCTTACCCCATGCCAAGGATTGGGGACCTGCTGGACAAGTTAGGGAATGCCAGATACCTCAGCTCAATAAATCTAACTAAGGGATATTGGCAAATTCCCTTGAGGTCCCAGGACCGAGAAAAGACGGCATTCTGTACCCCAAAGGGGCTCTTCCAATTTGTCAAAATGCCCTTTGGCCTACACGGCGCGGCAGCGACATTCTAGAGACTTATGAATAAATTACTGGAGTCGCAAAGGGGTTGGACTGCTGCTTATATTGATGACATTATAGTTTTTAGTCCGACTTGGGAGGACCATCTCAAACACCTAAGGATGGTGTTGTCTGAGTTAAAGAAGGCCGGTTTGACTGTAAACCCGAAAAAGTGTAGAATTGGTCTTGACAAAGTAGAGTATCTGGGTTTCAAGGTGGGGCAAGGGGAAATACAACCACAGGAAGAGAAGGCTACTAAAATTTCGAATTGGTATAGACCCCGAACGAAAAGAGAGGTACAACAATTCTTAGGGTTAATTGGGTATTACTGCCAGTTTATTCCCCGGTTTGCTTCTATCGCCGCCCCCTTGACAGATCTAACGAGGAAAAGAGCTCCGGTCAAAGTACAGTGGACCCAAGAACATGAAAAGGCTTTTGATACCCTTAAGGAAATTATTTGTGAATTACCCATTAGGTTCTCTCTGGATTTCAATGTACCCTTTATCCTATTCACAGATGCCTCAGACAAGGGGTTAGGGGCTGTGCTGTCCCAAAGGCGAGACGGAGTTGAGTATCCCATTCTCTATTTGAGCCGTAAGCTCAAACCAAGGGAAGAGAAGTATGCAGTAATTGAAAAGGAAGCCTTGGCAATCAAATAGGCTACCCACAGTTTGAAGTATTATTTACAAGGCTCCCCTTTCACACTTGTCACCGACCATGCGCCGTTGCAATGGCTTAACCGTATGAAGGAAACCAACCCTAGACTGACTAGGTGGTACCCAGCCTTGCAACCTTTCTCTTTTACTATTCAATACAGGAAAGGGTTAGAGCATGCTAATGTCGATTATTTCTCTCGGCAGGGACCGTGGGCGCGGAGTGAAGAAGAGCGAGCGGCACTCTTGGAAGGGGGGGTATGTGAGCCCCCCGTACAGGAGGCCTATGTAGGAGTGCTGTCGCTCCCGTCGCAGACCCAAATTACCCAAACCTCAACCCCTCCTTCTCCACCCCGTCGCGAGGATAAGCAGGTTGATACTGAGGAATTAGGAGTGATACCGGAAGAACCGGGAACCCAAGAGATTGGGGTAGATACCCGAGACTTAACTCAGGTGCTGAAGGAGTTAACCCTGACACCAAAGGGGGAAAAGGTTTCGGCGGGGAAAGGGAGGGAGGAGGCTGCCGCATGAGGAAGCGGAGAGAAGAAGGAGACAAGGTCTGAAGCCCCGACCATCTTATTGGGGGGAAACCGAGGCTAAGGACTGGAGGCGTAAGTTGTGAGAGAAGAGGCGGTGTTGAGGGAAATAGAAAAGAAAAAGGCATGGCATATGGAGGAATTGCGGAAGATGGGGGTTTACCCGGACCCTGGTTGGAAGGTCCCGGAGAAGAGTCGTCCCTATGGGGCTGGAGCGGCAATGAAGAAACCCTTCCCTTGATTCTGAGTGATGGTATTCCCGAAGCTGGAGGACCAGTGAAGTAACTGGTCCTTGGACAGTAGAAGAGACTAACCCCTTTGTGGGGAGTTTGTGGACACCCTTGCGCCCTAGACCAGAGGCTCGAGAGAAGTTAAATGAGGTTAAGCAAACTGTTCCTGTTGACGTTAATGTTCCAATAAATACTGAACCTGTTGGATTGTTTAACCCGTCTCAGCCTTCATTGAGTGTGACTGACCCCCCAGTAAACGAACCCTCACAGTTACCTGCCAGTTGGGCCTTGTTGCATGGGACTGTTGAACCGTTTACCTATGGGGGAGTAAGAAACCTCCCACTAAGCAATCTGGCAGAGCAGCTTTGGTGAAAACAGACACATTTCAACCGGCTCTCATCCTATCCATTCAGAACTGCTTCATCACCAGTGTCTTTGCAATCAAGGCCCACCCCATTCGTAAGAGCAGTCCCTGGAGCAGCAAAAAAACTGTGTGGTGGAGCAGAAGGGGCCTGTAGGCCGGGGATGATGGGAGTCATGATCCAACAGTTCACTATCTGGAGGGCACCAGGTTGAACAAGGCTGATTAAGAAGGGACCGAAGAGCAGGCGCCCTGGAGCCTGCATCACAAGCTGCATCCTTTAAACTGTTCTGGACCCCATTTTAATTTAAAAATATGGTATGGGTCAGACGGAAGGCAAATCTAGTCATCGTTCTGTTCACACGCCTGCCAGCAAGCTACCTATGGGAAGGCAAGAGGTGGGGCGGCTGCACCCTCCCCGTTTTAGCCCCTGCTTTTACTACCCAGCAGAAAGACTGGCAGAAGCCGCTGGCCCTGGCGAGGATGTGCCTTTATTGCTCTTTACTGTGTGACAGAGGCCGTAGCCTGTGAACACAGTAAACGGGGACAGGATGCCTTTGTGTCAATGCCTTGCACAATCTAGGAGCAAACGAGCGACCAAGGACCATCCAGCAGGCTCTCCTTAGCTCCTGGGACCTGCTGAATTTGGCCCTTGGGGCTGACCGAGGAGGGCTGAGGGGGCAACAGGGAGCTTTCTGTGAACTGGAAAAGAAAAGCCTTTCGGAGCTAGAAGCGGCTTCCAGAAACAAGACCCCCCAGCCTCCCGGCGGGTCTTGCCACATGAGGCTCAAGCGAGGCAGGAACCCAGGCGCTCACCGGGCTTTCTCTCGGAGCTGCTTCACCTCTTGGTAGTGAAGGAGCCACCGCCACCTCCCATAGCTCCGGAGCGTCTCCAAAGTCTTCACCATCTCCTTCAGCTCTCCTGCAGGAAAAAAAAGCACACATACGGACAAGGGAACCGTGAAGGCAGGAAAACCTGGGGTTTCCTGAGCTCGCTCTCAGCAGGCAGGCCTGCCTGTGGAAACAAATGGCACGTATATAACTGAGGCTGTAGCCCACCTGGCAGCATCGGAGGGGAAGGCCTGACACCACCGGGACCGGGGTGGCTGGGCTCCTCTCCCCGGCCTTCCCCAAATGGTCCCCATCAACAGCCGTTCTATCCAGGCTCCCCCTCCAGCGGTTCACCAGGGACGGTCTCAGCCCTCCCGCGATCGCGCTGTTGCCTGTGCCGACCCACTTTATCTGGCTATGGTCTAGGCACATAAGAACTGAGAGAGGCGGCATGTTCATCCATGTCTGTTTCCTTTCTGTATAAACCAGAGTGAACCCTGGTTTTGAAAGGTGAACTCTTCACGGGAGACAAATATTTAACACAGCACAAGAATGTTCTCCCCGACACGCTCGTTTTCTAGATGCAGAGAGATTCCCGGTGACAAGCATTTGGCTGCCTGACCGTCCCCTTGTGCTACACACACACACACACACACACAAAGTCCCTAGTGGGCTTTTTTTCAGAGTCTGTAAACCGGTGTACGGGGGGTGGGGGTAGAAGGCGCAATAGCTCACCCACTGTCATTGTCTCCAGTATTTTGTCATCTGACACCACAAACCCTCCCCGGTGGAAGAGCTCCTGATAGGTGTGGTCCAGGATGTCCTCGGGGCTGTCGACGCCGGCGAAGGTCACGCTGGGGATGTGCTTGAGCCTCAGCAAACAAGGGATCTGTCCAAAAGCACAAGGGGTGATTCTCGCTTACAGTAGCATCCCGTGCTCTGTTATGGGTGAAGTGAAATGGGCTGCCTATAGTTGGGAAAGTGTGAAGGCAAGAGGAGAAGGGGACGACAGAGGAATAGGTGGATGGACAGTGTCATCGAAGTGACCAACATGAATCTGACCCAACTCCGAGAGGCAGTGGAAGACAGGAGGGCCTGGCGTGCTCTGGTCCATGGGGTCACGAAGAGTCGGACACGACTTGACAACTAAACAGCAACAACAGTTTGGGGACAGGAGGACCATGCCAATGACCCAGGCGCTGCACCAGGTGTGCAGTAAAGGGGGACACAGAGGAGGCAGGCATTAAGAGGAGACTCCCCATCTACAAAAGGATTTCTCCAGAGCTCTGCACTTCTGTGCTAGGAAACCACACCATTAAAATTCTGCACCAACCATACTGGTAAGAACTGAATGCTCTGAACCTGAACAGAGCAAAATGGTGGACATCTGCTGTGATGCCTCTGGTCCTGCAAAAGTGGTCATCATCCTACTGTCCGTGGGAAGGACACCAAGAATGACACGATGAAAGCCCACCTCCAGGTACCAGAAATCAACATGTAGCTATGCAGCTGGTTTCTGAGATTTGAGCATGAGGTTTCAAGGCTACCGGAGAACTGAATTCTGCACCCAAGGTATGTGTTTCACAGACAGCTGTAGAGAACCTTAGATAGAACGCGTGAATGAAGATGGAACTGCCAATGCAGCAAGCCAAATCTGCTCCTGGGTGTCCCTTCTTCCCTCCCTTACTTTTGAGGTCTGTACAAAACTCACTGAGTACTAAGGTCTGGGTGTAAAGCACAGGGGAGAGTTACCAGGGTATTTTCTCCAAAGTGTCCACACTATACAGGGGTGCCTCGACTTACGAATGTCCCAACTTACGACCATTTCGAGTTACGACCAGCTCTCGACGCAAAATTTTGCTTCTACTTGCGGCCGGAGCTTCCAGTTACAAATAGAAAAAGGCAGGGGGAAAAGGCGGGGAATTCAAATTGCTAAGCGTAGGGAGGCGAAGAGGCTGCTTCTTTGTAGCTCTTTCGCCCCAGTGGTTAGAGTGAGTGCGATCGGAGGAAGCTTCGGACTGCCTGGTAAAAGTAAGGTGCTGCTTTCTGCTTTTTAAAAACTGTTCTGTGTGGTTTTGCAGTGTGGTTTTGGGCTGGGTGGTGGGATTATGTTTCTATGCTGTGATGGGTCTTGGGGGGGGTTGTTTTCTGTGTTTTTCCCCCCATTTCCGATGGGTCTTGGGGGTTTTCTTGCTTTTGGGTTTTTTTCCCCATTTCCAATGGGCCTTGGGGGTTTGTTTGCTTTTTGGGTCCCCCCCCCATTTCCAATGGGTCTTGGGGGGTTGCTTTCTTTCAGCTTTGCTTTTTTGCATTTCCGAAGGGGCTTGCACGCTTTGCTTGCTTTTTTCCCTTTTTTCTTTTCTTTTTTTGTATTTCTGATAGGTCTTGCACGCTTTGCTTGCTTGTGTTCGGAACGGATTAACTGCATTTCAATGCATTTCAATGGGAAATGGTGCTTCAACTTATGAACATTTCGAGTTACGACCAGAGTTCTGGAACCAATTAAGTTCATAAGTTGAGGCGCCACAGTACTTCCTTTCTGCTCCCAAAGTAAGTAAGTAAACAAATTAAAAAAAAAATTCCATCCATCATTAATATATTTACTCCACTGTTCAACTTAAAAAAGACTCATGGTGGCTTACATCATTCATTGAAAGAAAATCTTTAAAAGCTAAGAACAGCAAGTGTACCAATATTCAAAGAGAATCAAACAATTACCACACTAAAACAGTGAACAAGATCAACACGCAAAACAGATTCAAAGCAACAAAGCACAACACTCCACTTAAGGCCCCTCTCAGGTAGCCAAACCACAAAGGGAAAACCTTTCTGAAGAGAAAGGGCTTCTTCTGCTTGCAAACCCACAAAGGCACTTTAAGTAACCATTTAAGGTTTAAAGCAGGGGTGTCCAACCTTTCACCTTCCCTGGGCCACATTAGAAGATGAAAATTTGGTTTGGGCTGCACATACATTTGGTTTGGGCCGCATTGGGGGGGCAGCCCTAGCCGTCCTCCGCAGCCCCACTCCAAGCGTGTTTACCAGCAGCTGTGATCTCAGACAGCAGAAGTTGCCAGCTTCGACTCCGGCGGCTTTATTGGGCCGGGAGGGGTCCACCTATTGATGGGGACGGCGCAATGCAGTCACACAGCCCCTGTCCTCTCCCCTCCCACTCCTTCCTTCCCTCTCTCCCCCTCTACTGTTGTGACATGCCCCAACCACATTCCGCCTCCAAGGGCCGGCAGTGTAACTTGAAACTTTGGAATTTCTTTAAAAACAAAAAATTGCACTGGGCCGCATTACGAGCCGACCTGGGCCGCATGCAGCCCTTGGGCCGCAGGTTGCACAAGCCTGGTTTAAAGCATCTCACAGCAACAGCCACAAGTTACGGAAGAGAACCTGGGGAAGAGGCTGGTCATCAGAAGCTTGCATTTTTCCAAAATGTACAATAAAAGGCTTCCAGGAAGTCTTACTAAAATAAGGAGCCAGGTTTTGGAAGAAATGACAATCATTTCCTTAAAAAAACCCAAAATACTCTGGGGAACACAGGTGGGTCATAAAAATGATACGGGGTCCACATATGGTTCACACGTTGCAGATCCATGACATGCGACCCTTTCATGTAGCAAGATGTCTACTACGAGCAGAAGAGAGGCATGCTTATAAGAATTCAGCCACAGAGGGAGGTTTTTCATATGTGGAAATAATTTTCTGCAACACATACCTTATGTATATGTGGAAATATGTCCTCATTTCTAATGATGACCATCAGCCTGTCTGTTTCCACGTGGCTTGTCTTGCAGAAGTGCAGAGGGTCGGTTTCCGTGTGGCCCCCTTTTTTCAGTAAATTCTGGAACAAAAATGGTTTATCGAAACAGGTCACTAAAACACAATTAACTCTTTTGCACCTTGAGACATAATCACTGTAGCACTCACAGGTTTTTTTCCTTAAGCAAGCAGAAACAATGACAATAATTTACAGTAGGACCCCTGTATCCACAGTCTCACTTATCTACAGTCTTGAAATATTAAAAATATTAAATAAAAATATATATATTTCCATGATGTAATTCCCAAAACCGGCCACTAGAAGGAACCACACACATACACATTTTATTATATACGCATTTTTCAGCCTCTGTGGAGGGCCTTAGAACCTATCGCCAGCGGATACAGGGGCTAAACAATTCAAAGCAATGACAACTGAACCATGAAGGAAGGATGCAAGAAACAGGGCTGTTTCCTTTAGAATAAGACAAAATTCACTTGATTGCCATTTGCTTTGCATAGTTGCAAACCAACTCTAGGGGAGACTTGCAAGGGACCACAACCTAGAGCAAACATAAGTTCTTCCCCAGTAAATAAACCTCAATCATGTGTTCTGGATATTCACAAGGGCGTATCTGCTCCTGTGGTTGTGGAAGGGTCAGCTGAAATCTGGGAACCTTAAAAAAAGGCATTCCAGTATCACAGCTCTCTTGGGAATGCCCGAGACAGGCTGATTCCCCACGTGTGTCAGAGAAGCCAAGAGCAAGGCCATCTGAAGGCCAGACTCCGTTATAATCCTAGGTTTCTGGCAGGGCCACCCAAAGCAGAACGGTCCCGGTTGAAACACCAGACTGAGAAGGCATCACCCCTTTCAGGAGGAACGGCTGCATCAGCAGAAGTGAGTGGACTGGTTCCAGTGGCGATGGGGGCAGCATTGGACACCAATGGTAGCGGAAGGTGACACTGGTGGAGAAGACAACAGCCGTGACACTGGTGCTGGCTTTTACTAGTGCTGTGAAATAGGCAGGTGGCAGTAGTAAACCTCTACTGCAGAGGTCATCAACCCCTGGTCCACGGCCCGGTGCCGGTCCATGGCCTGAGACAGACCTCCCGACCCCCCGCACACACTCCCGTGCCCACAGCTGCTTTGCGCAAGCACGCCAGCATGAGTCCTCCCCCACCCCTTCAGGTGTGCGCCTGAGCATGCAGGTCATGCATGGAGGGGTGGGGGAGTGCTCACGCTGGTGCTGACACACACACACACTCCCCCACTTCTTGGCACATGCTCTACTGGACTTCCCTTAGGAAGAAAACCCTATGATGAGACAGTCCAACATGAAACAAGAGATAGTGCTGGAAGATGAGACTCTCAGGTCGGCAAGCACTCAACTGCCTTGGGAACAACAAAGAAGAACAAACAGCGCTGTTGTTAAGGATGCAGCTCAGTGAAAGCCAAAAGTGGGTCTAGTGTCTGTTATGTGCAGAAGGGAAAGGAAGATTGGATGCTGCAAAACATACACAGCTGGAACATGGAATTGTGAGGAGTATGAATCAAGGTAAAATGAGAAACCATAAAGCAAGAAATTGAATGATTACATTGCTTGGTATCAGTGAAATAAAGTAGACTGGAATGGGACATTTCCAGTTGGACAACTACAGCATGTTTTACTCTTGGAAATGACAAACTCGGAAGAAATGCAGTGGATCTAATACTGAGGCAAGATGTAGCACATCCAGTTATAGGCCTCCGTTGTATTCCTCTGACATCTGGGAAAACGTATCGACAAAACCGTCATTCAAATCTAACCAATGCTAAAGAAGATTAAATTGAAGGCTTTTACACAAATACCCACGAGGAAATCAATCACACAACAAAATAAGACAGTACGTGCAAAACCATGCGTTAACAGTAAACATCAGGGTGGGATCTGGGCTCCACATAAGCGAAGTATACTCATGGCCAACTACCATTCCCTCCTCTCAGTAGAATCATAGAATAACTGAGTTGGAAGGGTGCCTCTAAGGCCACTGAGTCCAACCTCCCTGGCTCAAGGCGAGAATCCAAATCAAAGCTGATAAGATAGATCTGGTTGTCCAATTTCCTCTTGAAAGTCTCCTGCATTGGAGCACTCACTACCTCTCAAGTTAATGAGTTCCGTTGTCGTACTGCTCTAACAGTTAAGAAGGTGTTTTTTTATATAGTGAGCCTAAATCTGGCTTCCTGTAGCTTGAGCCCAATATTATGTGTCCTGCACTTGGGGATGATGGAGAACAGATCCTGCCCCTCCTCTGTAGGACTGCCTTCCCAGGATTTGAAAAGAACTAGCTGATCACACCTCTGTCTTCTTTTCTCAAGGCTAAACAGGCCGAGTTCTTTCAGTCTTTCCTCTTAGGGCTTGATTTCCAGCCCCCTGATCATCATCTTTCTTGCCCTCCTCTGAACTTGCTCCAATAAGTACAATATGAAAGTTCTAGCTCAAAAGAGTAGTTTTGATTCTCTGAGGTCTGGTGGATCAACTGGGTAAGTCTGACCTTGGTAGATTAAGTGGTGACACAAGAAGAGATAAGAGGGCGAATTCATCTTCTTTACAAATAACGGAGCAAGAGTGATGGATGGTATGTTTTTCCCCCCTGAACAACAGTTACACCAGCGGAGGCATTTTGAATCCTACTGGAACCGAAGAAGAAGCAACTGCCTTTTAACCTGTGCATGGAAAAGACCTCCCATTTGGTCAAGGAGGAATGTGTGCCTTAAGATAAATTGCACCCCAACTTCCCTTTAAAAAGTGATTTCCTCTAGAAACCTCACTTCTTTTTAGAACATCTTGTAAAATTGTTTTTAAGGTATTTTTTTAAAAACCTCTTTCCTGCTGCAGCTCCTCTCCTGGAGCCTTCTAATCAAAAGCTTCCACATGTTGACATGAATGCCGGTGGGAAGCCCTTCAGCACTAAACTCCGTCTCCTGAAACAAGGCGAGACCAAAAAAAAAGGGGAGGAACTGAGCTGAAAGAAGGGACAAAAAGGCATGGAAAGTCCTTGGGATGGGAGGAAATAGGCAAGATGTCATACAAGATGTGAACAGTGGGGAAAAAAACACTGATGAAACCAGAAGAGGACCAGGTGCACTTAGAGGAACAAATACTCTACCTGCATAAGCTTCTCAGAAACAGTGTTGTGGAATATACCGTATTTTTCACACCACAAGACGCACTTTTTCCCACAAAATGGGGATGGAAAGTCTGTGCATCTTATGGAGCAAAGAAAACAGATTATATTTTCCTGTTTTCTTCTCCTAAAAATTGGTGCGTTTTATGGAAAGGTGCGTCCTATGGAGCGAAAAATACGGTACAATGTTCTCATCTCCAGATACCAAAGAAAATCCAACAAAATAGGAAAGAATTACAGAATTATTAAAACCGAAGTTGGCGAGTAAGCTAGAGCTTCAGGAAGGAGACAGAGCTAGCTGTGTTTTGATCATCAATGTTGGAAATTTATGACTAAACTAGAAAAATGAACTTCTAGCAGGAACTGGGACCACTATCCTATTCTCTTTAAGGCAGATTTAAAGAAGAAAACCAGAAACATATACAGAAATTCTAACCTCAATAGAGTTTTGAAACCAAGGGAGAAGCCAGTTTGCACGCTTCGGTCAAGAGGGGAATCCTGGTTAGGGTCACACCTGTTCCACCACTTTTTAAAAAAGGAGGCGAAAATCTGTGCAGGAAATTAAGAACTGGTTCCTAATTGGCACATGACAGTTTTCCGAGAACTAGAGTGATACCAGCATTGGATGTCACAAGTGCTTCTGTTACGTTTCAGCCCCATTACTTCACAAAGCAGCTCCAGATGCTGTTGGACTGCAGCTCGTATCAGCTCCAACCAGTACGGCCAAGGGCGCAGAACCCAGTCCAACACCTACAGAGGGCTGCCGTCTGTCCACCCCCAGCTTAAAGTCTTGCACAACTTAAAAGCTAACCCGTTACCTTTACTCTCCCAAAGAAAGGATCGTCATCGGTTTCCATCAAGTAGAATGCGTACGGTTTTTTGCACGCTTCCTGGACAACGTTTTTAAGCCTGACGTGTAGTGTGTTGCACAGGTCGGTGAAGAGGTGCTCGTAGACCGCAGATCTTCGAGGCAAGAATGGACACCTTTCTTCCGAAGCATCTTCTGAGGTAGTCAGCGGATCTTGTCCTTTGTGACTCGTCTGCCTGTCATCCCTCGTCATCACCCTGCTCAACTCGGCAAACTCGTCCATAATGACCGAGATATCCCCTCGGAAATCTTTTAGCTTATTATTGTAAGTTAGTTTGTTGAGGTGGAAAGGAGGGACTGGGCTTTGTCCGTGATTTTTGCATCTAGCAGCTTTGCTAAGTGACTCCGGTGTAGAAACAAAAGGAAGTGGAGGAGGAAGAGGTTCAAAATCATCCCTGTATCTGCGACTTCTGGCGTCATGGTAGGAGGACCTGAACCTTGGCCCTGAGTTCCTAACTGTGATCAGAAGAGGACTTTGGCTTCTGGGTGGTGGACTCAAAGCAGGGCCTTCCGGTACGTGCCTCGATAGGAACGTTTCTGTCCTTACCTCAGAGGGAAACTCTTTCGGAAAGATAGCCGTAGAGGTAGAAAGTTGTGATTTCTTCAGGATGTGTTTGACTTTATAATGAAAACGCAAACATTCCACATCTAAAGTGTCCTGAACAGGATCGTTCCATAGTCCCCAAGTCTTACTCCAGAAGGGCACAGATCCCAGTTTTCTTGGGAAACCATCACGGTGTTCGGGTGAGTGGAATGTTCTCGTTTTCTCCTTCTGCTTCTTCGTTACAGAAAAGTTTATATAATCTTTGAGGGGACTGGGCTTGTGGCTGTTATCGAAGGAGGGTGTTATAGGCCTATCGTAGTCTTCAGACGTAAACGGCCCATCGTGCTCCATAGTCTCCACTTCAGCATCCAGCATCCTCTCCTTGTCCTCCAGATACATCCAGCCGGCATGCTGAGAAGTCTCTCTATTCAGGCTCAAGTCACAGACAAAGTTAGGTGCCACGTCTCCAGGTACCGCCGTGGATAGCGTACGAGACAGACCCCCAGGCTTACTGCAACAAGCATCCCCAGCAACTGCTTGGCCACCATCCACCAAAGAAGACTCTCCTGCCCAGTTCAGAGCCATATGTGCAGCTCTGGTAGGCAAGCGTGGCATTTCACTGGAGCCAGCCTCTTCGGGAAACCAGAGACTTTCTCTTGCATCTCCAGGTGTACAGGAAGCAGCTTCTTCTGAGCAGGACTCGATGGGACTTTCTGCTAGCAAGCAGGGAATGATTTCCGAGCCTACTTCTCTCGCCTTCTCTTCCTCCTCAGGCATGGAGGCTTCGCGGCTGCCTTCTTCTACGTCAACTTCACACAACTCAGAAGACTTCTCTTCTTGTGACAACTCCGCGATTTCGGCCGGACGGGGTGTACATTCCAGATGTTCTCTGTCCACGTCTGCCCCAAACGTGCCCAAAGAACTTGGAATCACCTCCGTGATGGCAGCGGAGGAAGCTTCGTTCTCTGGAAGAGTCTCTCTTTCAAACGTTTCCCTTTGACGACCCTTCATGGTTTCACACAATGCTGGAAGACCAGGCCTCTGATCTTCTGAAGCGGCCCTCTCGTGGTCCGCAACAATGCTGTCCTGGTGTAGATATTCATGAACCACCCATTTTTTGTCAGGATGGGCAAGCTGGTTGCTTGTAGGACTCTCTTCATCACTCTCGGGGGGAGTCACACTCTCCAGGTGTACCGAACTAATCCACGTCAAGTTGGAATTTTCTTTAGCCCAAGTTTCTTTGCTCTCCACTGCCGTGGCATTCACAGTGTCTATCAATGCATGACAGAGGGTACCTTCGGATTCAGTCCCTGCCATCTGGCTTATGTTCCCACCAGGCACTATCTCTTGAGTTACAGAAGAGGCTCCAATATTCTCCTCTTCAACACCGCACTCTCTATTTTCAGAATCGGGTGCAAATTCTGTATTATCCTCTTCCAACCACTGGCTTTCTTTTCCACCTGAAGACCTGTTCATCACTTCTGTCTGTCTAGAGTCCTGCTCATTTTGGGTAACAGTGCTGTGCTGTTCATTAGCCAGCAGTGGAGCTATTTCAGGGAGGCGGCTTGCTTGCTTTTCCTGGGGAACACAGGACTCCCGAGTGAAATCCACTTTCTCTGGAAGTGCGGCATCACTGGCTGCCACAACGGTCTCTTCCTGGTTCCTCGGCAATTCTGTTAATTCCCCAGGACCACCTGGCAACTGAGCCGTGTCAGCCAAGTGGACTCCTCCCTCTTCCTGGGGAATGGAAGAACCTGGCAGGAAATCCATTTCTTCTGCTAGTGCAAGATTCTCGGCTGATACAGGAGAACCGTCTCGGTTTCTCGCAGATTCACTGTGAGTTGACGTATCACTTTGGGCTCGGCATGGTTCCCAATTGTCCAGTGTACTTGCACCTATCCACTCAGCGCCATCCTGGGAAATATCTTCAATCAAATCTATTTGACTCTGAGATACCTGGTGCTCAGTTGGTTCCGCAGAGGCTTCCTGCTCTCCTGACAAATCTATACCTTCAGCAGCAACAGTGTGATGGGCAGGACTAGCCTGCATTTTAACCGGATCAGTCAAACTGCTATCTTGATTTTCCCTGGAAACACAGGAAATATCAGCCAAATCCACTGGGGCTGCACACAATGGACTCTTCACAAGAGAATCCTGGCTCTTTACCAATTCTTCTTGAGCTGCTGCGTCATACTCGGCTTGAAATAATTCAGAAGTGCACTTGGGCATTGCTTCTGTCAAGCCGATTGCTTTATCTTCCTCAGAAATAACCAAGAGGTCATCCCCAGCCGTTTGGTTTGGACACACAGAACACTTGACAGTGCCTTCGACCTTTGTGGATTCATTTTCTTCATCGTGGTTCTGAGAGCTGGCTGTAGCAACACCAACCAGGCTGTCTACTCTATCGTCCCGTAAAAGGCAGGGAACCTCGACCAAATCCACTGGATTGAGAGATGCAGAGTTTGGGGCTGATAACGCAGAGACTTTTTGGGTAGAGGGCAGAGGACTGTCCTTTGGCGAGGCTGTGTCTGCTTCTCTCTCTTCTACGACACTACTTTCCATCAGCTGTTCCTCATTCTCTTGATCCAGGTCCACATCTTGGGGTTCCATGTCAGTATCGTTACTCTCAGAAAGAGCGAGGTCAATTGATTCCCACTCTGTACTCTCTTCACTTACGTCTTCTTCCTCCATGGTGAGATCCTGGGATTCTCTCCCGTCTCTGCATGGGCTGATATCTACTCTCGACACGGCATTCGCTTCTGTCCACTGTACTGCCAAAGTATGTAGTGGCTCAGATCCACCAGTCTGTTGGCTGTCTTTCTTCTCCAGAGGAAGAGAGTCACTCTTTATCTCCTGACTCTCAACCTCAGGGCCTGCTACAGGCTGTTTGCTTACTGAACTTTCTGGAAGTTCAGCAGTTGTGGGAATAGTATCACTCTGGGTCACGTCAACTATGTTAATAGCTCTCTTTGCTTCCGCTTCGACATCAGCTCTAAATGTCTGAGGCTGTGCATGCCCATCACTCTGTTCATGGGATGTGTTTCTGTTTGGGCTCTCTGAAGAAACGAGAGAACCAAGCAATGGCTCTTCTTCCAGTTCCTTTTCATCCTCCTGCAAAATATCCAAGTTTCAAACGTTCAGTAAGATGGAAGGTGCATATGGGAAAAATCTCTAAAAGTTATAATCTACAAACCATCCTAAAGCAATCAAAACTAAAATTACATATTACAGTAGGACTTCCTTATCTGCGGGATCTGTATCCGCTGATTCACTAATCCACAATCTGAAAATAATTAAAAATATTAAAAGAAAAATCCTACAAATATATATTTCTAAAAATGAAGTTACTAGAACTGGGCACTAGAGGGAGCCAGAGACGATGCTTTGTCTAGAATTTGCTATTAAAATTCACTATAATCTGCATTTTTCAGCATCTACAGGGTGACTTGCAACTGATTCCCCCATTGATACAGGCTTTCTAGGTAAAGGTAAAGGTTCCCCTTGACCTTTAGTCCAGTCATGTCCGACTCTAGGACGCGGTGCTCATCCCCGTCTCCAAGCCAGAAAGCTAGCATTTGTCCGTAGACCATTTCCGTGGTCACGTGGCCAGTGCGACTAGACACAGCATGCCGTGACCTTCCCACCGAGGTGGTCCCTATTTATCTACTCACATTTGTTTACATGCTTTCGAACGGCTAGGTTGGCAGGAACTGGGACAAACGACGGGAGCTCCCTCCATCGCGTGGATTCGAACCGCTGGTCCTCCGACCTTGCAGCCCAGAGGCTTTCTGCGGTTTCACCCGCAGCGCCACCCACGTCCCTACCACAGGGTTCCTACTGTAATACAAATATTTCTCAGGCATTTCTGACAAGCATTTTGCCTGGAAATTGTGCCAGTTCAATCTGCTCCGTCCTTTAACCCTTTTCTCAACACGGTGCTGCTTTGGGAACAAGCTGTCACTACCTAACACCCTCCACATAAAGGATCCTTTGGGTAAGACTGCATTGTGGGTCCACCCAGCTTTCCCGTGCAGAAAAGCATGAGGGCACCAAGTGGAAGCTTGGGCAGAGCTTGGCCTGACTCGACCTCCAAAGTCTTCCATTTAGGCCTTTCTCCCAGGTGTCTGTAAGGTATCAGTCAGATAGGATTTCTTAGAAGGGAGAATTATGGAGTTTATACCCCTCCCCAACCAAAATTCCCATCTCTATCGGTTGTATAGTGGTGCCTCGCTTGACGACATTAATTTGTTCCAGTGAAATCGCTGTAGAGTGAAATCGTTGTCAAGCGAAATAAAAAACCCATTGAAACGCATTGAAAACTGTTCAATGCGTTCCAATGGGCGAAATACCTGCTCGTCCAGAAAAGATCCTCCATACGGCGGCCATTTTCTGGTGCCTGTAATGCGAGGAATCCATCCCTAACATAGCGGGGAGCCATTTTCTACAGCCAGTGGCCATTTTGAAACCCGACGATCAGCTGTTTGCTGATCGTCGTAAAGCAAACCAACGGTTTCCGAAGCAGGGAACCCATCAACGTTAAGCGAAATTCCCCCATCTAAACATCGTTTTGCAATCACAAAAACTTCAACGTTAAGCGGATTCGCCGTGGAGCGGGTTAATCGTCCAGCGGGGCACCACTGTATCTCTGCATTCTAGATTTCCCGATTCATGTTTTATTTAACAAGACAGTTTATAGTAAAAGCAATGAATTTAAGCCTGGTTTTGGAATGACCACTTACCCTTTGACACTACTGTGGAAACCTGTCCTTCAGCGACAGCATTTGCCAAGCTTATTAGGACAGTCCTTAGAAAAAAGGGAACCTCAATGTGCTAAGTTAAATACCCACTCCAGAGCTGGCAAAGCACAAACAGCATCTTTTTGGGTGAACCCTCATCCTCAGACATTCAGATTGGTCACAAACTTGCAAATGGTGAGTGGAGGTCAAAGGATGAGACCAGAACACCAGCCTTGTTTAACTTAAGGCTCCGGAATCGAAGACTTACAAGCGGCATTTCAGCCTTTTAAATTGTGTATCGGAAGGAAGCTGGTGCGCTCATCCGGCGGCACCTAAATGGCTAGAGGGGGACCTTACAGGCAGTTCTCTCTCCCTTTGGCCTGCAGCTGGCCATGGATGGTGACCACCGGAAACATGTGGCTGAGCTCCACCACCTGAAGCATTTCTTTTCCTAGCCCCTAACAGCCCTACAAAAAAACAGACAAACTCAAATCAAGATGTGTTCACAGTTTGCTCACCCATTTCCTCTTAAGGAACAGGGCCACCCGGACACCTTCACTACACCAGGTTTAGTACAGCAGTGCCCAATCTCTTGACTGCTGCCCTTCTGTGTCCTCCTCGCTCACCACAGTAGGATCACCAAAGCCTTACTTACCGTGTCGCGGGAAGGAGAGACATCCTTGGAGTTGCAGACCGCGGAGGGGATATGGTCTTCCTTCCAAGGCAGGCCGGAAGGTTCCTCCGAATTCACCAGCGGGGGTTCGTCCTCCATGCCATCCGTAGAGGACGGTCTGCTACAAGAGAGAGGCTTCTCGGAGGGAGAAAACGCTCGCTCGTCGACCTCGCTGGGCGTCCGGTTGGCCTCCGAAAGAGAGTCTGCAGGACCTTTCTCCAAGTTGCAGGAGCCTTCAGCATCCTCAAGGAATTCAAAAGGATCCACTACACTGTTCAGCGACACATACTTGGCGGGGTTGCTGTGCTCAACGACGGTCCTGGTGAGAGGAGATTTGAACGGCTTGCTGTAAAACAGAGCCACCCACATATGAATGATGAGCTTCATCTCTTCTACGTTGTCCGGCAGATCGACATCCCAGGGGCTAAGAGAAAGAGCAAAAGCGGGAGGTCATTTCTTTACCAGAGTGGCCTTTTACTGCTTTAGCCTCACAGGATGCGCTAGGCTGCATGGGTAAAATCCACAACATGCCACTTAGGTCCTGTGAATAAGAACCACCTTCTCCCATAGGGACCTTCCTGTTACTCAGGCATCGCCCGTGACAGATTTAACCAACGGGTGCCAGAAAAAAAGCTGTTCTCCATGGTAGGACCACCAGCGTGGCGATGGGAAAGACTCCCAAAGCTTCTGAACAGCCTTCCAAATGTAGACCACTCGGATCTATTCCGTGGTTCACCTCTGCTCCAGCTTTTAACTGACACGCCCATACACAGAATCTCTATGCGGTCAAAAGTTAGCCCTCCCCTTTGGGCACCTTCTATTGTTAGAAACCAAGGGTTAAATCCAATTGAGTCCCAACTGGCGCAGATTCATTGAACCAAAGGCTTGGCACCAGCACTTCCCAAACAAGCCCCATTCACTCAATGGCTCTATTCTACAGTGGTGCCTCGCTAGACGATGATAATCCGTTCCACTGAAATCGCTTACCCGTGGACGGCCCGTATGATGGTTTTCTCTAAGGGGTGACTTGTGTATTTGCTATCTAAGCTGAAGAGGTACTCTGCTTCCCGCTGGAAGGTCACTTTCACCGTCCGGTCGCAAAAAGCGACTTTCCGGAACTTGGAGAAGTCTTCCTTCAACCGCTGGGCCATGATGGTGGAGCGCATGAAGGGCACACAGTTCTTCAGCTGCTTGTGGGGCGGGCAGAGGTGCTGCTGGTGTCGGAAAGGTAAGACTTTGCCGGGCAGGCCCAAGGGCCCGGCCTTGGCGTGCTTCACCCCATTCCTGGAATCCAGAGCAGCAGGGGGGGTTCCTTTCTTGGAAGAGTCCGACGCCAGGGAGGCGTACGAATGTTCCGAGGAAATCAAGGACTGCATGCCTGGGTCGGCCAGCTCTCCCACCTCCTTTGGAGAAACCGCGGGCTTTGTGCCCCCTTTTCTTCGGGGACTCAAAGGGTCTCCTCTCTCTTGGGAGCTGGAAGGAGATTCTGGGCCGAGACCGCTGCGCCCGGGAGGCGAGAGCGACGGCCCGCTTTTTTGGTCCGAAAGGGAACCGCCACGAGCGCGGGGGAAGCTGTCAAAATCGTCATCTAGTGAAAATCGGTTTGCGAAGCAGGGACCAAACATTGTCCAGAAAAATTCCCCCATAGGAATCATTGTTTTGCAAATCGCTATAGCGATCACAAAAAGTCAATGTCTAGCGAAAAAACTGTCATGCGGGGTAACTATCTAGCAAGGCACCACTGTACTTGGCACTAAAGACTCAATTTAGCCTGTGGCGTATTTAGCAAGGATGCCGGCAAAGTCTATCGGTCTCCCCCACCACCACTCCAGAAAAAACAACAGTAGGCGTGGGTGAGTTGAGTCCAAGTCACTGGGAGGAAACATTCTTTAAAAACCCAAGTCAAATTCCAAGGGTAACCAAGCACCTCCTTCAATTTCTTAAAGACTAATGTGTAAAATTCTTATCAATGGCTAGAATTAAGGTTTCCTGTTCACTGCATGGATGTCCAAAGGCCTCCCACACCTCTGTAGGCAAGCTGTTGGAATTTTATCTTGGCAATTCAGAGCAAAGACATGTGATTCAGAACCAGGCCAGAGTTGACATTACAAAACTGATTCAGAACACCTGAACAGAAGAATCAACAGCGTCTTTAAGTATAGCATGGTGGCGTAGCTTCCAGCCCCAGGGGCCGAACCCGGTCTGTGGTGCCAAAAGGGGTTCCCCAGTACGAAGCTGAGGGAAGAGGTGAATGGAGATGGCAGGGATTCTTTTATGCACTTTCAGCAGGGGAGAAGAAGCAAGAAGAGGCTGAATCAGTGAAGGACCCGTCTGAAGCTTGATCTGGAAACGCTCCACGAGTGCCTTTGCTGAGGACCAGGCAATGCCAGGGAATGTTACCAGACCTCTTGACATCAACAGAGGGTGGGGAATCCATTCCACTATTTCTACTGTTTTGCACAGTGATGGACAGACACAACGTGCTTCTTTGTCAAAAATGTGGTTTAGCGTTAGGGTTCGGGACAGGGTGGGGAAAACGAAGCCGAAGCACAACCCGAAGCACAACTAGGGGCGCCCCCTTCCAAACCTGAGCTGCACTTACCCGTGGACGGCCCGGATGACGGTTTTCTCTAAGGGGTGACTCGTGTATTTGCTATCTAAGCTGAAGAGGTACTCTGCTTCCCGCTGGAAGGTCACTTTCACCGTCCGGTCGCAAAAAGCGACTTTCCGGAACTTGGAGAAGTCTTCCTTCAACCGCTGGGCCATGATGGTGGAGCGCATGAAGGGCACACAGTTCTTCAGCTGCTTGTGGGGCGGGCAGAGGTGCTGCTGGTGTCGGAAAGGTAAGACTTTGCCGGGCAGGCCCAAGGGCCCGGCCTTGGCGTGCTTCACCCCATTCCTGGAATCCAGAGCAGCAGGGGGGGTTCCTTTCTTGGAAGAGTCCGACGCCAGGGAGGCGTACGAATGTTCCGAGGAAATCAAGGACTGCATGCCTGGGTCGGCCAGCTCTCCCACCTCCTTTGGAGAAACCGCGGGCTTTGTGCCCCCTTTTCTTCGGGGACTCAAAGGGTCTCCTCTCTCTTGGGAGCTGGAAGGCGATTCTGGGCCGAGACCGCTGCGCCCGGGAGGCGAGAGCGACGGCCCGCTTTTTTGGTCCGAAAGGGAACCGCCGCCTCTCCAGTTTCTCGTGGCTCTGTGATACTCGTGATCCGAAGCCTTGCACAAGGTCTTCCCCTCCTGGACGCAGCGGTGCTCCCGGGACGGGCTGGCCCCGACCGGAGGGCTTCGGCTGCCGTTACTGACCAAGGGAGAGTTGCAGGAGCTCAAGGCCAGGTCCGCCAGCATGTTCAAGGCGTGGGAATCGCATTCTTCCCTCTTTGGAGTGGAGCAAATGTCCTGGGCAGCCCAAGGTTTATTCTCATCCCCAACCTCCATCTGGCTCTCCTGGTGGGCGCTTCTCCGTGTGACTATTCAAAACAGATACAAAAGGAATCAAAGCCAGGACAGGTTTTTCAGTCTGGCTTAACACTGAAAAAAGGACGCATCGCATGCTAATTTCTCCAAGCTCATCAAGGGTTGGCAAGCTGGGATTCAGAATCCCTGTTCATCCCGATGGTCTCCAGGGTGACAAGGAGGTGCTCACAGTCGCAAACCACAGGTACAAAGCGATGATGAGGATAAAGACAGGAGCAGATGGGCCGGTCTAAGCTCTTACGCATGGGGAGAGATCAGCAGGGGTGCCTCAGCGGCCAAGGGTTCAAATCTCGGCTGTGTCTCCTTGGAGAGGAGTCAGCTGAGACGATGGGGTTGATGGGGTTACTTGTCCTGCTTGGCTGTGTGGCTTAGGAGAAGCTGCATGACCCCCAGAGCCCCAGCAGAAGGAGAGAGGGCTAAACCACGACTCAACCTTTCATACCTAGAAAGCCTGCAAGTGTCGGCATAAAATCAAACGTTTCTGATAGTTATTACTCGGCTCTTAAGAGAAGAGGTCGGGCCTGCCTTAAAAGGCCAAGGGGTGAAATTTTCACCTCTAGCAACTTCTGTGGGCCACATCAGAAACTGCCCCCACCCAAAAAGGGAGTGGGGAAATGAAATGGAATAAGACTAGAAGTCTATTTCCAGCCTCGGAAGAACCTACACCTCAACCCACTATTCATAGAGGTTTCCAGAAGCCGAAAGCCCCTTCTTTATGAAAAAAAAAGAGGGTTATTTGAAAGGGGGCAGGATGGGTGCCTGGTGGAGGCTCATGAACTGCAAAAACAGTCCGGACTGTCTTTTGTGCAGCTCTACTTCAGAGGAGCAGGAAGAAGAAAAAGGTGAACATAACAGAGAAGAGGAAAAGCCAAAGGAACCCAGCTTGGATCCTTAGCTTGGATTCTTAAGTCTCAAGATGTCAGAGACCTTAGCTGTGACCCTGACCCAGTCCTCCGTGGGTCACATGGGCCCCCCTAGTCTTGCCTTTTGAAAAAGGCAAGGGAAAGATTTCAAACTAAATAATCTCTTGCAAAAGAATCATTTTAAAAAAATCATTCCTGGTTTGGGGTTTAACAATCTCTGATTCTAAACCTCCTGAACTTACCGGGCCTCCTGATGTCCATTTGCTCTATGCTTTTAAGCTTTTCTCCGTCCGTGTTGCATCTCAAGAGCCGTGGCTTTTTTCCCGAAGGATCGAGGTCGTCAGACGAAACAGTGGCTTTCGTGGCCAACTCGTTTCTCGTCTCCTGCACAAATTCTGCAGACAAGACTTCAGCACCTTGGAGAAACACGGGACATTTCCTGAGGAGCCATCCAACCATCAGCATCCCTCCTAAACCTTGACCGAACACCAACGTATCTACAATATACGTTAATTTTATGCTATTCAAAGTCTACATCCCAACCTTAGCTCTCCAAAATGCCTTTAACTGGACAAATGAGATCAGTTTAAAAGACCGTTCTGCTCACTCTGTTCCCATTTCATGTCTTTTTTTTTTTAAACTGGGCATTCCAAAAGCTTCAGTCATGGCTGACAGCCAGCTAAATCTTATAACCCGGCGGGAAAGAGAGGTACAGTAGGAAAAACTATAAATTGGGCCTTCTCGGCAGTGGCCCCTCGCCTTTGGAACAACTTACCTGCAGAGATCCGGCTGGCCCCCTTGCTGAAGGCCTTCAAGACTAACCTGAAGACATGGCTATCCAGGCAAGCCTTCCCTACAGCCATTACCTAGCCTATCTCCCCTTTCCTTTTTTTCCCTCTCCTCCTTCTTTTTCTTTTTTCTTTTCCTTTCCCATCTTGGTCTAATCTGGATTTTATTTTAGTTTATTTTTATGTTATATGTAAACCGCCCAGAATAGACATGTTCTACATGGGCGATATATAAATCTAACAAATAAATATAAAATAACCATTTGCTAACAAAGATTTTTAAAGAAATAAAAGCACGCCTATAAAAAAGGATCAGTAAAAGTACTATCTGTAAGTGCAGCAAAGAGCAGTATTAAAAAGCAAAACCAACAAGCAACAAAAGACTTTAATCCAATTAAACTAACTGAACTGGAAGAATTTTGCCCAGAGACTAAAACATAGGAAAAGAAGCGCTAGGCGGATCTGTCTCAGGAAGGAGGGAGGTGACAGCTAAAACTAAAAGAAACGAAGACAGTAATCCTAAATTATTTTTGCTCTGTCCCTACCAGAGCTTGGAAATGACAGATGGGGACCAACATTTACAGAATCTGGGACTCAAGACGAGTTGTGGCTCCAGAAAGTAACTATCTATCCACTCATCTTCTTATAGTAAGACCCCTGTACCTTAAGGAGATCTGTTCCCATCCTCCCCTACACGGAAGCTGAAAAATGTGGATTATAGTAAATCATAGTTTAATAGCAAATGCTATTGTGTCCAGCTCTGGTAGTGACTAACATTGCTAACATGCGCTGGATTATGGAGAAAGCCAGAGAGTCCGAGAAAAAACATCTACTTCTGCTTCACTGACTATGCAAAAGCCTTTGACTGTGTGGACCACAACAAATAAAGGTCTTTGTCAAGGTAAATTTACAGGTCTGATCAGAATAAAGTATATTAATGGGCAACCATGATGAACAGATGTGTAAAAACTGAGCCATGATGACTCAGCCTGCTGACTCATGCATGATGCAACGCATAATGTGACTGGACACAAGCAGATCTGTATGTGTATATATGCGTGAAACTGAACAGTTGATCTATCTTCCTGCTTGGTGATGATTGCTACCTGTTATGCTGCCAGACTGAACTGCTGTAAATATCTTGTAAATACATGTTGGTGGAGGAGAAGCTGCTGGTGTGTGCGTGAGTTACTCTGGACTACCAGGACTGTTTACTACTCTGCTAAACCTGCTGCTCTTCTGCTTTTTTGCGCTAACAGTCTTAAAGACATGGGAGTGCCTGACCACCTTATCTTTATCCATAAAGAAGGCTGACCGCCAAAGAATTGATGCTTTTGAATTGTGGTGCTGGAGGAGGCTCTTGAGAGTCCCCTAGACTGCAAGGAGAACAAACCTATAAATTCTAAAGGATATCAACCCTGAGTGTTCACTGGAAGGACAGATCCTGAAGCTGAGGCTCAAATCCTTTGACCATCTCAGGAGAAGAGGAGACTCCCTGGAAAAGCCCCTGATGTTGGGAAAGTATGAAGGCAAGAGGAGAAGGGGACGACAGAGGACGAGATGGTTCGACAGGGTCATCGAAGAGACCAGCATGAATTTGACCCAACTCCGGGAGGCAGTGGAAGAGAGGAGGGCCTGGCATGCTCTGGTCCATGGGGTCACGAAGAGTCAGACATGACATAACGACTAAACAACTGGTAGTGACATGGTGACATCTGTTTCTCAAACAAAGGAGATCCATAGCATGGTCTCTGCCTCCCTCTAGTGGCCAGTTCTGGTAACTTCATTGTTAAAAAGATTAATTTTGGGGATTTTTCCTTTAGTATTTTTAAGATTTTTCAGACCACGGCTAAGTGAATCAGTGGATACTGATCCCGCAGATAAGGGGGGTCCTACTGTATTTACATCCTACCTTTTCCAAGTTCTGACCCCTGCCCGTGACAGCCGTTGGCTCCCGTCCACCACCAGCCCGTGACCTGCCGTCGATCACCCCCACTGAATGGATGCTACCGAACAGGGGGGAAGAAAGATTCCTTGTGCCAGTTCGAACTCACTCACCTCTTTTCCTTCTTAGAGGATTCTGAAGATTTTTTAATTTAAGGGTGGGTTCACAAAAATCCGCTGTACGTCCCAAACTTTGCTTCGTCGGTGGGGGAGAGAGGCTCCTTTTCAAAGGCAGAGAAGGTAGACTCCTCTTCTTCCTTATATTTTTCTTCCGTTTCTTGTTGTTCTCCATCAGGCAGAGAGCCTTCAGAGGGGACCACATCTTCCTGGCGCTCGCCCCCAGGAGCCTGCTGGATCTCCTCTTACACCGCTGCAATGGGCGATCCCCAATCAGGTTGGGTTTTGGGGGAGCACTGCCGTTGCACGAATTCGCCTGTGCCGCACACCGAGGCCGGAGGGAGATTTTGCCCACGTCTGTGGGAATCCCGGGAGGCAAAGGGTCTGAAGTTAAAGCAGAAGGAGCAACGGCCTCCTGCATGCCACCGCGGGGAGGAGACGGAGAGCCGGTACCCAAGCAAGTAACGGCGGTTGCTATTTCCAAAGCATAATTTTGGGGTTGCAACAGGTAGAACTGCAGGTGGCTGTAAGCGCTGGGGGGACATGTTTCGGAAGGGGCACCAAGGTCCAATTCAAAGGAGAGGGGCGAGCAGTCAGGACCGTCCAAGTCCAAAGTCTTTGGCCGCTTTGCAAACTCTTGGATATGCTGCTGAACCAGAGCGTTGGGAGGGGTTCGACCTCCGTCCCCATGCTTGGCTGCTTCCAACAGGGCATGGCGAAGGCTGGCCAGCACCAGAGCAACTTGTGCAGGGATCTCCTCTTTCTTGTGTCGGCATCTGACATCTTTTGCTACCAAAACAAACAAGCAAACAGAATGACCCCAAATGAACCAAACAAACACCACAGCTTTCGATCAAAGGTGTGCGCATCAGACCAGAAGCAAGAGAAGGACCCCCACCATCACACCAGGCAACACTGAATCATACAGTCATGAAATAACTGAGCGGGAAGGGGCCCCTATATAGCCCATCAAGTCCAACTCCGTGTTCAACGCAGGGATAGAAATCAAAGGATAAGGCCTCCAGGGTTGGAGCAATCGCCACCTCCAGAGGTCATGGGGTTCTATGGTTGTACTGCTCTAACAGTTAGGAAGTTTTTCCTGATATTGAGCCGAAATTTGGCTTCCTGTAGCTTCAGCCCATTATTACGTGTCCTGTGCTCTGGAATGATTAAGAACAGATCCTGCCCCTTCTCTGTATGATCACCTTTCAAGGATCTGAAAAGTGTGATCCTATCTCCCCCCTCAGTCTTCTTTTCTCAAATCTAAACTTTTCCCAAGTTCTTTTAGTCTTTCGTCCTTGTTGCCCTCCTCTGAACTTGCTCTAGTTAGTCAGCATCCTGCTTCGAGTCTGGGGTCCAGAACCTGGACCCAGGACTCTAGATGAGGCCTAACCAGTGCTGAACAGAAGGGGAACTAGTACCTCACAAGATTTGGAAACTATATTTCTGTTAGGTTCCCCTTGACATTTAGTCCACTCGTGTCCGACTCTGGGGCGCGGTGCTAATCCTCGTTTCCAAGCCATAGAGCCAGCATTTGTCCGAAGACAGTTTCCATTGTCACGTGGCCAATGCGACTAGACAGGGAATGCCGTGGCTTTCTCACCGAGGTGGTACCTATTTATCTACTCGCATTTTACATGCTTTTGAACGGCTAGGTTGGCAGGAGCTGGAACAAGCGACGGGAGCTCATTCCGTCACATGGATTCAATCTTATGACGGCTGGTCTTCTGACCTTGCAGCCCAGAGGCTTCTGCGGTTTAGCCCGCAGCGCCACCACGTCCCTGATGCTTCTGTTAATGCCCCCTAAAATCACATTGGCCTTTTTTGCAGCCACGTCACACTGTTGGCTCACATTCAGCTTTTGAGCAACAATTCCAAGATCCTTCTCACTTGTAATATTACTGAGTCATGCATTCAATGTTCTGAAAGACTGCAGGAAGAGCAATTTAACATAATTTGGTCTTCAACTACTCTAAAGAGAAAATCCATACTTACGACAGTATTATACCTAGCATGCTGGGGAAACGGTTCTGGGCAGACAGGAGAATAAATTTTCATTGCATTGCACATGGCCTGGATGTGCTCCATGTGAAAAGTACTATGACACAACAAAAGGTCAGATGTGGCCAAGTTGGCCAACAATGGGGTCATTGTTGGAAAATGGCTATGTGGCAAAGTGAGCATTTGGTCGCTTTGCCGCTCATCCCACTATGGTTCAACGGAAGATGGTGTAAAATGGATGGGAGATTTTAAAGAGGCTCACTTCGAATCCTCCAACCTCTCAGGGACTACCTGCCCACTGTGGCCTAGTCTACCTTCCCTTCACCTCCCAGATGTCGCTCTGCTTTGCTCCTTGTTAAGCACTAAGCGCAGGTTGCCAGGACACAGAAGCTGGCAATTACAACCACCAGCACAATCCAGAATCAAAACGACATTTCAAACCCTGTGTTCTGTTCTAGTTTGGAGGACAAACAGCCACCAGAGTTGGCCGATCTAGATGTTAATGGAGACCGGATATTCCTTGACACTGGAAGAAAAGTCATTGATCTCAGAGGAGGATGGAGGGGAGGATGTGAGCCTGCCCTTGGCTTCTGATCCTCCGGAGGACCGAACCTGCCCAGGTAAGAAACTCTACCTGATGCACACTTTGGTCCAGGCGACGGGATTAAAAACAAGGCCTGCAAACGTGCAGGTTCTTCTGGGCTCGAATCTGGGGAGAGAAGAGACCAGCAGAGTGTTAAGTGTTACGAATTTCACTCTTTCGTTAAAAAAGTACACATGGACGAAGTTTCTAATCCAGTACAGATTTAAGACCTTATATTCAATTCCCTACCTTTTTCTTTCACCAAGGCAGTTGAAGCCAGTAAGATGAGAACCCTCTGATTATTTAAATATTTGACAAGTGCCTACAAGAAAGAGAAAGGAAAGTGAATTTAAGTTCCCTTGTTTGCTGAAAACATGCTGGCGGTCTGAGTGGTGAATTGAGCCTTGATCCTGTGGGGGCCCCCCCAATATCCTTCTGCCAACACATAGTTTCTTTGCTACTTAAACAGGCCTTAGGCAGCTGGTTTGAACTTATAAAGCCCTGAACAGCTTGGGCGAAGATTGCCTCTCTCTTTCTGAGCCTGCTCAGGTGTTAAGATCATCCGGGGAGGCCTTGTTCTCGGTCCCATCAACCTCAAAGGTGCACTTGGTGGGGACACGGGAGAGGGCCTTCTCGGTGGCTGCTCCCAGACTGTGGAACTCCCTCCCACTGGAGGCCAGGCTGGCCCCATCTTTGCTGTCCTTTCACAAGCAAGCCAATAACTTTCTCTTCAGGCAGGCTTTGCCTCAGAGATCAGCTATCTAGGAAAGGTTTTAAAACAGGATGGTTTTTATTTCTGTTTCTTTCAAATTTGTCTCAGAAATGTTTTCACCTAACCTTTTAAATATGACGCTTATTTAATTCATTGTGAATATCTGAACAACTCACTGTTTTTAGCTTTCGGTGTCATGTTTTTAATGATGGAAGCCACCTTGGGACCTTTTTCGAGAGAAAGGTGAGGTAAAAATATTTTAAATAAACAATTAATCAATAAGCTGGTTGGTTGCTAGGGCCAAGAATTTTACAAGATGGACGGATCCAGGTGCACCTTTTCCACTGGGCCACGGGTGCCTTTCTGAATTGGTGAGGCAAACAAAGAACGAATCCATTTCGGAAAATCTGCACAGAAATGCACACCTGTTTCCGAGCCAACAAAACCACCTCAAAATCCAGCAGAAAGCCCAGTCAGAGCCTCTGCTTAAAAACCTCTCATGGAGAAGGGTCCACCTCTATACAGTCACGAAGTTCTTCCTAACATCGGCTCAAAACTTCTTTCCAATGAACCTGAATCCATGACTTAGGGTCCCACCCCTCTGGAGCTGCAGAAAACCACCGTGCTCCATCTGGCACAGGGCAACCCTTCAAAAGGATGGAGGTGGCTCTCCTATCACCTTTCAGGCTTTCTCTTTTCTAGGTGACACACAGCCAGTTTCCCCCAGCTTGGATTCCAGGCTGTTCATGACGCTGGGCCACCTTTCTCCCCTCTGGACACCTTCTGACTTCCAGATACCTTTCCTAACCTCCGATGCCTAGCACTGGGCACAGGACTCTAAGGAAGGTATGACCAAAGGATGGATGGATGGATGGATGGATTTCAGGCTTTCTCTTTTCTAGGTGACACACAGCCAGTTTCCCCCAGCTTGGATTCCAGGCTGTTCATGACGCTGGGCCACCTTTCTCCCCTCTGGACACCTTCTGACTTCCAGATACCTTTCCTAACCTCCGATGCCTAGCACTGGGCACAGGACTCTAAGGAAGGTATGACCAAAGGATGGATGGATGGATGGATGGATGGATGGATAAATAAATAAATAAATAAATAAATAAATAAATAAATAAATAAAGAGGGGCACAATAATTTCCCTTGATCTGTACGTGATACTTCTGTTTTCCTCCCCCCCCCTTCACGTTTAGTTTACTCTGTACTGGAATAAAAAACACAAAAATACAAACACACACAAGAACGCTTTCGTTTCAGTGGCTTAAGAAGCGACAGAAGCAGCCCAGGAGCACGGGAGCGGTCTAGTTTCCCTTTCAGTCCTGACAGCTGTGGTTACATAAAGAGTGCTTTTTTGCTTTCACTTTTAGCCATGCTAAGGGAAAAAAACCCAACAAACTCTAACTCTTCTTAAAGGACCAGGCTCACCTGTGTCCTCGCTCCCCTTTTTTTTCTTTAACTTTTTATTGCATTAATTTTATCAGGTTTCTAAAACAGCCTCCTCTATGACCTGTATTGCATCTGCAACTATGCAGACACCCTGGAGAACTTTTAAAAAAACTCTATACACCATTAAGGTGATTCTATACACCATTAAGACAATGAAATGGCTGACCTCCTTTGTTTTCCTCATTCGCCACCCAGTCCGAT